TCCAATCCCAATATCTTGATTTCGAGTCGCAATGCATCGCAGGCCCATATATACATCGTGCGCTAATATGCAACCAATTAGCGTTCGGATAAAAATCCTTTCCGTCACCCCAACCCCATTTTGAGGACTCACGGAAATACCTCGGATAATGCCACAATCCGTTCTATGTACAACAATATGTCAAACTACTTCAACAAGTCTACGTGTAAGGTATCCAGCATTTGATGTTCGTACAGCAGTATCCACAACTCCTTTGTGGGCTCAATAACAGGAAATGGTATATTCCGTTAAAGAAAGCCCTTCGAGTAAATTGTTTTAAATGGGCAAATCAATCATTTGTCCTTATGGATCCGACATTAATCCTCTCATACCTACTAATTGGTGGACCTGAGATGCATTTCCTCTAGCTCCCGAAAAGGACATTATATGGACTGGATTAAAAGGATCAGTCATCCTGAAATTTGGATTCATTTCTTGTGTCAAATATTCACTTGTAGCATACCATAGCTCAATTGATTGGCGTAATTTTTCTACTGCGTGTACATTCCCATGACGATGGTGCTTTTCCAAAATCAATCTTTGTTGTTCCGCATCTTGTCCTAACCATCCCTTAGAAGGCGCTGTTAAAAGATCATCAATTCCTAATGAAATTGATGTCAGAGTGGCTTGCCGAACACCCAGAGTCTTTACGTGATCCAGAATGTGTGATATATATGCCATTCCAAAATGATCTATTAATCTACTAATAAGTCGTTTCATGCAGTTCCATCTATCGCTTTATTGTGAAAGACCATATCAGCCCGTTATGCCATAAGTACCTCCTTATTCCGGTGAGTAAGATTCAACAATGAGTTTCAGTCAGTGATTTGAAGACTTATTTTCCCTTTCCTCGATCTTGATTCACGTACAAATTTTGGAATTGTGATACTTGTTGAACAGGAGATATCTGTATTCTAACGGGTATCACAGAATTACTCGGGTACCAGATCAATAAGTCCGACAAAACCCTTGTATAGCTTCTTCTATTTCTCGATAAAAAGAAATATAACCAACGGTGGTTCGAATGTAAATACAAACAATTTATTTTTTTACACTTATTACCATTCGATAGTGCTCGTGAATCTCATGGTAGATATCCAAAGATTCATATTGAACTTCAATGGGAGCTTCTCTATTTATTGAGGCAATCACGCATTGATCTAGTCGCCACCGGAGCCACAAAGGATTGTATAAGTCGATTCGTTTCTGACGATAAGCTCCAAGTGCATCGTAGGAACTACAAAAATAAGGTTCTTTCTCTTTTGTATACTTATAGTTATTATCGTCAACTACTTCATTTTGATAGTTTCTATGCTTACATGGATTGTACCTATTTGCACAAATACCTCGGCAATTCCCAATCGTTAGTACATAGAGGCCAATAAGCATATCTTGAGTTGGTACAGAAATAGGATCTCCAATAGCTAGAGACAAGAGATTCATATGAAAAAACATAAGTAAACGGGCTTCTGCTTGAGCTTCCAAAGACAAAGGTACATGAACAACCATCTGATCCCCATCGAAGTCTGCATTGAATCCCTTATGAACTAATGGATGTAAACAAATAGCACGTCCCTCCACTAGAATAGGTTGGAAGTTGGAACGCCTGTATGCTTAATCTATGCAAAGTAAGTGCTCTATTCAACAATACAGGATTTCCTTCCATAACTTTTTAAAGTATTTCCCATACATTGTTTTTTTTTCCCGAGTTTTACTTTTCGCAATCCCTATGTTGGAAGCGACATGTTGTCTGATTAGACCACGAATTACAAAAGTCAGAAAGAGCTCTATTGCTATTTTTCAAGGTAATCCACATCGATGTAATGAAAGCAAAGGGCCTACCACAATGACAGAACGACCCGAATAATCGACCCGTTTACCAAGTAGAGTCTCACGAAATCTTCCCTCTTTGCCTTCAATTACATCTAAAAAAAGACTTGTAAACTTTATTGTGACCGTCCCTCATTGGTTGTCAGCAGATCCCATTATCAAGAAGTGTATCGACGGCTTGTACTAATTTTTCCTGACACATCACTGATTCCCCTGGCGTAGATCTACTTGTTGTTAATGGATCAATAAGAGTATTATTCCGATAGATAACTCTTCTATAGAGTTCATTATTATCCGAACTCATTAGTTTACCCCCATCTATCTAAATGATTGGCCTCAACTTAGGAAGAAGAACTGGTAATTGGCACAAAACCATCTGTTCTTGTTCTACATTTGTTCTAAGAAGATGCTTAGCCAATTCCATGCGCCTAACCAAAAAATCCTTTCTCGTTACGATTTTTTTATCTTCCCATTCATTCTCAGTGGATCTTTCTTCCCCCAATTCCTTCCATTCTACCAATGAACGATCTGTAATAATTCGCAAATCTGGATCGGCTAATTGTTCTCTAATAGCACCTGCTCCAGTAGATATTTCTCGATTTCTAAATAGATTGAAGCATTGGGTAAGAAAAAAAAGTGGGATGCTGCATTTCCAGGATTGGATTTCATATTTGAATGAACCTTGTAATCGTAAGAAAGTGGGTTTTTTAACTATGGACCTAGCAAAAGAGAAATTGGGATAAGTTCCTATAGAATCTCCCCCTCAAAATCGGACGTGAAGGTTTCCTCTCATCCGGCTCAAGTAGTTGTAACAAAGAAAGGGGTTCTCACTCCCAAATTTTACTTTAGATAAATCCCAAAACTACTCCTTACTCAAGTTCTCAGTGAGGGCCAATAAATATTTCATTGATTCATCTCTTCTCCTCAATGACTCATTCAACATTATGTGGAATATGGTATCCCACACTCCACAACAATAGTTTTTCCACATGATATTCTTCCCTAATGAAACAACACAGACAACAAGAATAAGCAACAATTCAATTCAAAACAATTGATCAGAAGTTCATGGAATTTTATGATGTCTATATGTCGAACCTTTTCCCAGTATCTCAAACCTTTTTTCTAGATTCTTAAAGAATTCCCATTTGGACAAAATAAAAGTCAAAGTACAGTGCGCAATGGAAACCAATCGCTACTCATTAATTTTTCTTTCCCTTTGCATTTCTCAATATCCCTAAAATGTATTCTTTTTTATTCCCAAATTCCAACTTCAAGAGGACTCGGAGACCTCCTTTCCCATGAGTTGCATCATCAGTGAAAGGTTAGTGAGCCCCTCCCGAGGAAGATGAGAGAAATCATATGTGTATCAGATGGTTTTGTTTTGTGATTCTAAGGCTCTAGTCCACACAATGAAGAGAAGTAAATCCAAAAGTTTTATTGAGAAAATGAATGGAATTTGAAGAAATTGCAGATTAAGGGTTGTCATTTGGAAAGGGAGAAATATGTCTTCACTAAAATTTGAAGAAATTGCAGACTGAGGGTTTGTCATTTGAAAAAGAAGAGATCTCCATTGAGTATGTTTAACACAGAAGTACCCATTATGACATACTCCTTGAGTAAGAGATTTGAGTATTTGACAATCACATATGCATCCTTTTTCATCTGGAATCTTGTTATAGAGTGTAACAAATACATACTAGCAATCAAAACATGAATAACACTGCAATAGAAGTATGGTGTCCTCAAATTGTCATATGACAAGAAGGCTGTCCTCCATCATTCCCTTTTACTCATTAAGAGGTGATCAAGGTTAGTTATCGATAAATATTGCAATTATCAATCTAATTTTTTTTATTTGAACAGTATGTTGTAAAAGTATTTTGATGAATACAATTCAACCATGAGGTTATTTCTACTATAAGTCTTTCCTCTAGAAACTGTGACCTATTACCTTTACTCCTATATTTGCTCTATGTCATATTAGAGGAAAGTTGATAAGTAGCTTCCTAGCTATGCTACATGGATTCATAGTTTGGGTACCACACCCCTTACGGACACATATCAACATGCATAATGACTCAGATTCTTGTTCTTGTTCACTGAAAATTGACTACATCGGTACATTTGGATCTTCTTTTTATTATTGGGTAGAAACATGAACATTGATAATATCTATGGATTCAGCCAACTAAGGAATGAATGACTTTATTTGGCAACTTATCATGAAAAGTAATACCAGCAAACAATGTTGGATTTCATGATCTCTTTAAAATATAGCCGTGTCACGAAATCTTCTTCTTCGTGGCATGAGGAATCCAACATGCCACACCTATGTCTGACTGACACTTACACAAGTAAAGTGCCATGGAACATAGCTTGGTAGTTTATCAATCAGGCATTGAAGTCAATGCTGCCCACTTAAACAGCTTTCAGACACACAGATGGATTTCATAGGCAGTTTCCTCCCTGGATGTAGGCCCATGTTTTCATCAAATAATCTCTTTCAAGGGGAAAACAAATGTTATGAAGTAAAAATAGAGTTTTGAATAAAGTTATGGAGAAGACCAGAGATTTTTTGCAAATTTATGTAGAACCCTAATAGAAATATGGATGTTCTACTATGCTAGACAGGTATAATGATGGAAAGGGTGAAAGGAATGGTGAAACTTTAAACAAAGTTTTCGTTTAATTATTCAGTTTGCAATACTGTTTTGGAGACATCAATCCAATTCAATAACTGATTTACTACCAAATTCTTTTCCATGTCAACAAAACCTACAGAGTGAAGTGAGAAATTTTCAGCAACAGTTTGCTTCGGCCAAGACTTGAATATGAAAACAGAATAATCAAATAGAAAAACAAGACGCCACAAAGCTCAATTCATATATACCCACTAGCTCGATTCATAAATCAATATCACCCAAAAAGTCAAACCACTATCAAAACCTAATCCAACCAACCTTCGAACACATTGATAAGAATCAGAAAAGAACAAAACTATGTCATTTTACAAGAACGGAGAAAAGAACAGAAACCGGTCGCACCAAGAGCATAACAAGAACCCAAGATTGCGAAGGGAGACAGAAACCCAACAAGAGCAAAATAAAGAGAGAAGAGATCAGAATTACCAGCACAAGTCTTCTCCTTCATGAGTTTATAGATCAGAACGCAAATACCAATGGCGTGTGCGGCCTCTGCAGCTACAAAGAGGTTATCATGATCATGAACTATGGCCCTGAGGAGAACCAGGGCAGCCATGCCTGAGACCACAGCAAGGAAGGCCTTCACTTTGGGGGGCTGCCTCTTCACCCATCCTACCACGAAGTGTCTCATGGACGAACTCATATCTTTCTCTCTCTCTCCAGTCTCTCTCCCTGAACACTGCGTGAATCGAGGCGCAATGTTTCTCGTCTGCTTTCCTTCTTTATATCCCAGAAATTCCAATATTTTTCGAGCGCGTATGTCATGCTCATGCGGATGCATAGTGTAGATCTGCTCCCTCGGGCAGATGACTAACTTGGGAAGATTTCTTGATCCAAAGTTTTGGAAACCACCTAAAACTTATTAAGTGATTATATTTAAAAGAAAATTTTCAATTTGAAGTTTTATAATACTTAGATCTCACCCTTAACAAACTACATAGATTCTAAATATTATTTTGTTCAAATCAATGCAATTTGAAAAAAAATTTATTGAGCAAAGCCTATGGGTTGAAGCATTTATATTTCCAAAATTTGAAGTCCTAAGGATACTCCTTGGATTTTACCCAAGGGAATAAATGACAACGTGCTCCCCTCAGTAGGGCAAAATTTTAACATTTTAGCTTTGCTGGGGTATGGCCAAAAACCAGATTCATGTAGCTAATCTTACATCGTCAAAAAAAAAAAACTCTTATTATAATACTAATAATAATAAATAATAAAATTAACTTTTCACCTAAAATCATGATGCGATGAACCATATTCATATATGATCCTTGTATGTAAAAGGTAACAACCTCCTTATTACACTTACCCTTTTCCGAGGGGGAAATTTACTTTTGGGAAAGTCGGGCCATAATTGATCTCATGGATGCTTTGCTTCCTTTTTATAAGTACAGTACAACTCGGAATAGTACAGTGTATTCCGAGGGAGCATATGTTGTGCTTACTCTTTATAAATCGGAAATTTTTTGGTCCTGCATCTGACTTTTGGGACTATCACATATGCTACGAAAAGTGTTTGGTGAGTCGGTCTCCCTACAAAATACATTTCAACGATGCGTTTTCAATCCAAAATATTAGAGTTCAATAATCTCAACCATGATAATAATCCAAATTTGGAATTTTTCTTTATCAAATATATAAATATTTTTTGAATTCATTTCTTCACTATCCATTTTAAATTTGTTTCTTCACCATCCATTTTAAATTTTTAACTTTTAGTGGATGTTACATTTTGTTTTTACATCCATCTTATAAATAGATGTTTGAGAAAGGTGGATTGCTGTATTACCACGAGAAACAACTTTCTTAATAATATGTATGTGAAAAACAATAACTTAAAATTCAAAGGGGATGTGTCACCTTGGATTGGAAGGGTTTTAAAAGAACCTATCAAGATCGAAATCACCATATCCGAATATCCGAATTGAGAATCATTAAGGCCAATTTTTTCAATATCCGAATCGAGAATCATTAAGGCCAATTTTTTCAATTAAATGGCTGGTTCTCTAACAACCAATCAGATCTCCACTTTTTCTAATATTTTTCAATTTTTTCAATTTTTTTAATTTTTTAATGATAGGTTCACTAATCCACCGAACCGGATTGGAAATCCAAATGGGCGATGCGGATCATCGATTTGTTTTTTAAAACCTTGGTTACAAGTTTACAAGCCCTAAGTGCTTTGGTGATCTTTTATATTTATAGTTTTCATATATATTACCTAGATAAAAAAAATTACACACATCAAAAAACATATTATAAACATTACCATTAATGAAACTTTAACATACTTATTGTTTATTCTATATAAGCTAAATCCAAATATACTAATCTTGATAAAATTTATTTCCTTAACAAATATTATATAAATTTAATTTATAGTTATCTGATAAATTCCAAATAAAAAATAAACCCCAATAGAATTATCCTAATAATGATAACGCCAATTAAGCTACCAAATACCATGCTTATCATGTGCTGCCTGGTAGCTTCAACCACCTACCTAAATTAGATGAAGAATCTCTCATACTTCCAAGTCTTCCCTCTTTTTTTTTATTTCTTTGCATTTGAACACACTCGAGCACAATTTTCCGAATTTTTCGGACCATAAGAATATTTCAATTTTGGACCAAACTAGCTCTAAATATTAAGTGGTTTTCAAATTGAGCCTGATAAGGGATTACAAAACCATTGCTGCCCTTCTCTAAGGCCTCGAGAGTCCTAAACAACAATTTCATTCCCTCTGACCCTAAACTTCAGACCAAAAGAATATATATTTTATATGAAAACGGTTGAGACAGAAGGATTCTTGCTAATTCCATGATGCTGATCTCTTGAGAACAGGCTTCGGCTGCTTATCCTCTTCTAGTGATATCATACCCAAATGCGACGGATCTTCGAGCATCATTTTCGCTACTAAGTAACCAGCAATGGACCAGGTTTGGAACTTTCGGGCCTGTTTCCCGACATATCTACCGAGTTTTCCATCGTAGTATTCGGGCCAGCTATCTTTTAACAAACGGGTTTCTGCAAGCTCAATGGCACGCCTTGCAATTTGGGGACGTCCAGTCTTGATACATGCAGCAGTGAGAAGCCAGAGCAGAACTGCAAGGACGATCATAACAAAAGCTACTGAATCAAGTGGAGCTATGGAGAGAAAAAGGGGAAGCAGCTTAAAGTGTTCGCTCTCTCATATGAGAAAAACAACTTGATTTGGCTACTCCTTGTCATAGAAGGATCTCTCTCTCTATATGCCGAAGTGCCAGTTTTCCAAAAAAATGAAAATTCAGCTGTCACATATTCAACACATGCAAATTATATTACACATTCCTAGCCGGATACAGACCATCTTTTAGAATGGGCAACTTAAATTGCATGCCTAGCCTGCTGCATGGTTGATGCAGAAACCAACTGCGCATCCAATAATTCAATATGTTTATTTTGATACTCAAATGAAATGATTACACATACAAGGACACAAACTCATATTTTTCACATTATCAAAAAAAAAAAGACTCATATTTCTCTTTAAAAAAAGGACGCATAACTCTCCTCAAGACACACTGACATTTAAATTCTATGAGGCATGAAACAGTATTACCTTACATATCAATGTCTCATAGGTCTACATTAAGGGTCAGCATTTAACCCATACCTCTTTGTCTTAATTATAGACAACTTAACTAGGTACATGCAGGATGCGTTGCCGTGGTGCATGTTATTCGCAGATGACATAGTTTTGATCGATAAGACCCAAAACGGCATCAACACAGAGTTCGAACTTCGGAGGGATGCTCTAGAATCCAAAGGTTTTTAAATTAGCCAGACTAAGACAGATTATATGGAACGCAAGTTTAGTAATAATAAGAATAGGGGCGAGGAAGTAGTTAACATTGACGGCCAAGAAGTACCAAAAAGACCGCACTTTCGATACCTTAGGTTGATAATCTAAAAAAATGGAGAGATTAAGGAAGATGTCGCACATAGAATTAGAGCTGGGTGGAAGGGGAGATGTGCAACTGGAATTTTATGTGATCACCACATACCAAAGAAACTGAAGGGTAAGTTCTATAGGATAGTTGTGAGACCAACTTTGCTTTATGGGACAGAATGTTGGGCAGACAAAAAACAATATACCAATAAAATGAATGTAACGGAGAGAATGTTGAGATGGATGGGTGGCAAGACAAGAAGGTATAGAATCTGAAATGAATATATGCAAAAAAGTTTAAGTGCGGCACCAATAGGCAATAAGATGAGAGAGAGTAAACTTAGGTAGGCTGTCCATATGTGGCGTCGACCCAGTAGAGCACATGGTAGGGGGTATGAGTTAGTTCAAGTGTAAGGATTGAAAAGGGCAAAGAGTAGGCCCAAAACGACGTGGTTGAAAATAGTCCGAAAAGATATGGGGACTTATGACCTCACTGAGGATATAGCCTTAAACAGAGCAAAGTGACGAACCAGGATTCGTGTAGCCGACCCCAATTAATAGGGAAAAGGCTATGATGATGATGAGAAGAAACTTTGATATTAAAAGTTTATCAAAAGTAGCATGACATCCATGAGCAAACCTAAGCCCAAGAGTTTAACTCCCCAAACAAGAACCCTCCTTTGATTCACAAAGGAGCAGCCAAAGACTGCTACAGAAATTAGCCAAAAAAAACCTTGCAAAAGGCTTCTTGAGTTCTATGCAACATCAATCAGGATTGACTTCAACAATCTTTTTGATGAAGAGACCACAGAAATTAGTGTCCTGGAACTTGAAGTTCAACCAAAATATCAACTTAATGAAGTTGGAAATCCAGATACCAAATGATTACCATACATAGCTCACATACCAGTAACATCATCAAAATAGCTACTGAGATTCTCTCATAAATGCACAAGATATGCATCAAACTTATGCAATTGCTTAACAGTATTTTTGCAGTTGCTTGTGTCAAAAAATAGTTAAAAACAACGACAATTTGTTTTTGACATCATGGCACAGATAATGCATGGGGAAATTGGTACAAGAATCAGTGCACATGGATCATTATAAAGACAGTATCCAAAAGAAAATAGAAAAAACATTGGGAAGACAGACCACATTACACATCAATCTCTTCTATGATGCAATTACAGACCAGAATGGTCAGCCTGTAGCTTTGTCACTAACCAGAAAAGAAGAAAAGGTGAAGAAGCTATATTCTTCTGCCATTTTTTGATTTGTGAATTATGTCCCATTATTTGATAATAAAAGTTGATCGTCACTGACAGAAACAAAGAAAAGTTGAAGAAGTAAGATTATTCTGGCATTTTTTTATTTGTGAATTATGTCCCATTACTTCAACTTTTACGACAAACTAATGAACAAATACAGAAAAGGGAAGATATCTGAAAATACGTAACAAAAGCAAGCAAAGCGGGCTAGCTGGAGATGTCATCAGCAAAGAGAATATCTAGCAAGGTACAAACACAACAAAAGCAGGTCCCCAATCACCTGTGTGCAAGTGAATTCCGAAGGGATCTCAATCCACTATTTTTGGAAGGACTGTTGATCAGATAATTGACAATGATTGAAGGAATTGTTTATATTAAAACTGATACTGGATGGATCACTATAAGAGCACTGGAGATGGCTAAGGACATAAACAAAGGGATGTCAAAGATGTGAGTCCCAAAGATGCAGAACATCATTATATGCCACCTCAAGAAATGGAAGGTTCCCATTGAGCAAATATCATCATCTTCCATGATAAGACTCATATCCCTCACAATCTTCTTCCTAGATGTTAGATTTGATAAGACAATAACCCAAGAGAGATAAAGGCAATGGATAAATTGTACTATGCTGTTGTCATACTGCTAACAAAGGGTAAAGTAGATAGAAAACTTCAAACATGCAGCACATAGGACAATGAAGGTGATGGAAAGAGGTTGACATTGCTCAGTTCATGACTTCAAACAAATAGCTAGCCACTGAAAAATAGTCTGTCCACCTAATGACGGTTAAAAACTTGGAAAAAAAAAAAAAAAGCTGGAAAATGTATGTAAAAGATTTCCTCCTCCATAAAAGTTGTAGAATCCTCTTTGCAACTAATTTCCATCTATCCAAAGTTCTCCATCAAGCATAAAGAATTGAACAGTAACATGGAAGAAAAAGTCGAACAACGCAAAGTGATGCTGGCCCGTAGCTCACAAGTATTCACTATTCAGAAAGTGAACAACTGCATGTTGGTTTTGTCAAATTCAGAGGTCTCTTAGACCTTCTTATCCACATTTACAAAGTTCTCTTGGTGCAGCTTCAAATTTTAATGCACTTTTTATTGATAAGTTTAATGGATATATTAAAACTTTGAAACTTCAGTTTAGCACCATTCCGGAAAAGACCACCCTAAAACATTTCTAGTTTCCTCATACCTCATTGCATTAATGAAGTACTTCCATAGTTTCAACAATAAGTAACCCAATTCAAGGGCATGCAATGTATTTTGCTTGGGAAGATATTTTTTTTTTTTTAATCATTTTGCATGGAAAAAAATTAAAAACTAAAAATAAATAGCACTTTAAGAGGCAACTATAGTTTGTTCCTGAATTAATATCATAGACGGTCTAACTAACCTGGCCAAGATCCTCCATTGTGGTAGCTCCATCTGGTATTTTTTGGGTCACAACCTGTCACAATTCGCCAATCATGACCTTCTAAAGCTGGATAACAGATCTTTAGAGGCATTTCTCCTACCAACTCTTCCCAACGTGCTTCAATAAGATCCATTATGGCTGAAGCTTGCTCAGGGGTAGCTAAAGATGATAAAATAGCAACACAGTTACCAAGACAAAACCAACGAACATCCATCTTTGCAGGGCTAACATTTCCAACAAAATATCCTCCACGACATGGCATAAATTCAAATACCCAATCAGGAAGCGAGTCAGGAATAACGTTAAACTTATTAACTGCGGTGTGAGAGTATTCTTCTGTCTTGTATCGATAAATATCATTAAGTTGCTGAAAATCTAGCCAGAAATAACTTCGGATGTGATAACTTAATGCATGCAATCGTTTAGTGACGCGCTCAGCACATTCTTTCCCCTCATCATCATTTTTGAGCAAAAGTAGGGAGCACCTAAGAGCCATGAAGAAAAGTGCTTGTATTTCAATGGGATATCCATAAACACCCTGAAGGCAGTGATACAATATTAGATTATAATAGATTATAAAGTTGAGAGAAAATCATAGGCCGGATGAAAATACAGAATATAAAAATACAATTTCCATTAAAGCTAGGAGCATCTACAGGGTATGCGTTCATGAGAGAATTGTTTATCTACAATATTTTTAAAAAAAAACCATCTGCTGTCCAGAGTCAATCATCTGCTTTCCAAAGTCATTCAATTATTTACAATTCCATTCTCCAATTTGACAAGAAAAGCATTATCACAATCAGTTCATCGAAAGCAGTTCCCCATATGCATACACAACTCCATGGTCTCTCTCTCTCTCTCTCTCTCTCTCTCTCTCTCTCTCTCTCTCGTGTGCNACCCACATAAGAGAGAGAGAGAGAGGGAGGGTGTGGGTACGTTCATACTTGCAAACTACTGTTCAGCCTACATGGTGTTTTCATACATAAGAGAAAGCTGCTATGCAGTAATTATCTTGACACTCATTGAACATGCCTGAGTCACAAACCCTTCTTTTTCAAATGAATCCAAACATATTTTTTGAAAGAAAAACAAGAAAACTCACCATTCTGCGATCAACCATACAACAACCATCAGCACAAAGCAAAGTGGGAAATGTATCAAAGCCCTCAGAGAGGCATAATGTTAAAATAAGCCTTATGCCCTTTTGAATTTCAGGCATCTCCGCTAAGGATGAATCACCAGTCGACTTTGTATAAGCACGAAGCAAAATAATCCACCAAAATCCGGAATCAACAGGGGCAACTCTACCAATTGCACTCTCCCCGAAATCTGCAATCAGGGTATCACTATTTCGAGCAGGATCATGGTGGACTTTGAAACTTGCTGGCATTACTCCCTCACCAAGCTTGAATCGGTCGATTTTTTTCTCCCATGACTGAAGACGAAGAGTTTTCAAAATGAAATGTTTAACAATCTCTGGTTCCCCATTCATCAGGAAGGCCAACGCACTAGGGACAAAATCCCTGACAAAGACCTAAATAAAATCAAAGACAAGTGAGGATTCGTCAAAACCAACAACCCACTATAAAGCTAAATGTGAAGATAATTAGACATCATTTAGAATCTCACCAGTGGTTTGACAAAGATTTTAAAATAGACAAATGTTACAAGGCAATATGACAGGCTTTCAACTTGTTTAGAGTGAAACAACCGAAACCTAAAAAGCTACGAATCTACAACTAGTTTTGGGTGCAACTAGTTTTGCTCAATCAATAAAACGTAAAAAAATGAATACGAATTCCAAAATAACTACTGATATGTCACTTCACTCTACCAAAAAAAAGTCATATTTGAGTTTCATAAACTAGTACAAGCATTCTCCAGAAGTAACACGTGCATCTCATGTAAATGAATAACACTTTTTTATCAGCAAATGAATAATGAAATCCTTCAGTGGATCTAACATTTCAGTATTTCGATCAAAGATTCCACTGGAAGCAACAAAAAACTGTCATACACATTATGTGTTAATGAGTGCATGGATGTGTAGAAATATCATACAAAAACAGATAGACACACTCACATGAGTATCTATGCAACACCCAAATAAAGGCATACATTCAAACACACAATAAAGTACAAATGTAAACATAGATCTACACATACATTTCATGCATACACACACATACATATGCATGTAAAGCATAAGCAAATTTGCAATATACATTAATATATGTGTATCCATGTAAATATATGTATGTGTGTGTATGCTCATACGCGTGCATAGGATGGTTAATAGAATCAGGTGAGAAAACAATTGCATAAAAACAACTAAACCGTTTAATCAGTTCCATGAACTTGGAGAAGAAGTCATACTGCATGGAGATTTTGAAATGACCAATTAATTCATCATTATTGAAATGACACAAAAAATCAAACAATCTTAAGAAGACGGATATATTTATGTACCTGATTATAATTTAGAGCATCCTCTGTATGATCCAATGCAGCAATAGTGCCCACTGGTTGTCCCCTAAAGTACACCTGAGATCTTCGAAGAGCTTCCCAAGCCTCTGCAACCAGAGGATGGGGCTCAAAGGATTGATGACTAAAGCGAGGGCTATTCAAAACCGACCTTCTCCCTGGAGAATAAATGTTTTCGAAGCCATCTGGTATCCGAAAACTATCCATATGCCCAGTTGAAAGCTCACTGATTGACCTCTCATCAAATGATCTTTGCCGTTCTATGTTTAAAGCCCTTGGCTTATCGGGAAACTTTGAGAAGTCGCACTCCTCGATTTCAGCTACAGTGCACAGGGGATCAAGATTCCTCATGCTTGTCTCTTGAGAGACATCAATAGCTAGCGCAGACATGGTTCTTCTATTTCAAAATAAGATCCCCTGATCAAAGGTCTAAAAGCTTCTGCACAGAAAAATCATTTTGGAATTTAAGAGGAAAGTTTTTATACATATGAAAACCAAAGTAACGTATTGATGCATATAACCATGATAAGATTCAAAATGAGTACATGAGCACAGAAGTATCAGGTCATACAGCCAAAGTTTTCCATAAACATAGGTGGCATCTGTATTTATGAAGAATCTTTCATTTAGACTTCCTGTTAGAAGCAAGAAGCTCAAGTGGTTATCTACAATCACTTTGCCATTTTCTAAGCATCTCTTATTCATATGGTAAATTCCGCCTCAAAATCAGCAATCTCAAGCTTTCCAATGGTAAAAACTAAAAACCCATTAAAGCGCTCGCCCATGCATTAAATCCACAAAACAATGACTAATTAAATACAGAGACTTCATGAACCCTATGGCCATACATACATCATTTACAGAATTGTGACTACACACAAAATTTATGAATACCGAAATAAAATAAAATAAAAAATTGAGGCAAAAAAAAAATATCAAGTCAACTCTCTCTGAAGAACTCAAGCCACAAACTTTCCTAAAACTTTCAAGTTTCACTCTTCAAGTCCTTAAATTAAAACTTTAAAAGTTTCAGCACCCAAAAAAATGCAGAATAACTCATCAATCGAATGCAACAAACATCCATCTTAAAAAAAAAAGACATAACATAGCACCGAATTCAATGACAAAAGTCACAAAATAAACCAAAACCCGCAATGATCCAGCAAAATCCAGCAGGTAGCCATTTAAAGACCAGAAATTTTCCAAAACCAAGAAAAAAAAAACCACAAAATTCCTCAGAAAAGCACGAATCCACCATGAAACAAGCAAATTCAACGATCAAATTCATCAAACTACCGGATCTGAGCCAGAACACCAAATTAACCAATACAGATTCAGACACAAATTGAATCAAGCGAGGGTTTCAAAGCTAACAAAATAAAGTTCAAAAGCTCAAAAAAACATTAACCTGTAAGAAGAAGGACGCCAGAAGCTTGATCTAAAAATCAAAACCCCTTCTTCGTAAGAAATTCTCGCTGAGAATCAGAAAAAGCCTAACGCCTCACCTGAGGCCGTATTTATAGGTGCGGAGCTTGCCTGAAACTCGACCGGTTAGATCCGGTGTCCGGGCCGGGCAACCGGATGAACCGGTCGGGACGGCGGAGTTGGTGTGGAACGTACCGGGAAGTTTACCTGCTCTCGGGACAATCGAGTGGCTACTTGGATATACTCACAGCCCCGTTCTGTCTTTTTCTCTCTCTAGATTGATTTATCCGCTCTCCTCAACATTGTTATTTTCTCTCTCCTCTCTCTAAAAGTCTCTTATCCACGCCTTTTTGGTTGTTTCCCCTATCTTTCTCCTCTCTCTTCAACATAATATCTACACTTTCTCTCTCTAAGATCTGTTCTTATATGTACGCTTCTCTCTCTAAGATATGTGAAGCTTTTCTTCTCTCTACTTTCTCAGACTTCTCCCTCTTAAGAAATGTGAATTTAAAAGATGTCGGGTCCGCATGGAAATGTTTGGCCCACCAGCGAATCAGTCAACCTTTGCTGATTTTGTCTATATCTAAAAAATTATTTAAGTATAGAAGAGAACCGACTATTTATTATAATAAAATAGCATTTTGCTACGGTAAAAACATCGTTTTGCTACAATAAAAAACACCGATTCACGGATCCAAACCTGATCTTGACTGGTTCAAATTTTTAAGGTATTTTTTCACGAGTTAACTATTTTATCTGCACAATAAACAGGCAATCGAGACCGCATATTCACAACCGATTTTTGTGATACTCGAATTCATTTTTTAAATCACTAAAATTATGAAATTCTTTCTCTCTCTACTTACTCTAATCTTTTGCGGGAACTCTCGTTTTTCTCACACTACCACTGTGAAATTGAAAGGCTGTGAATTGTGTAGGAGATTATCCTTACATTTTTGTAGTTTGTTTCTCTCAAATCACTTAATGTTTTGCTCGCTCTCACTTTCTGTCTCTAACACGCGATTTATGCATGATCCAAGCCCTACTTTTTTGGCAGTCTCTTTTTCTCTCTAAATTTCCCGGCCTTTTCTCTGCCCGCTAATCATTCGGTCACTGTTTGATATCGGGCCACGTGGGCCGGTGTAATCGTCCTTCTCCGGACGGTGTTGGAGCGCTTGAGGGTGCACGCACGTGGATGCTTACCTGCCCTTAGCTATTACTGATATTTAATGACTGTAATAATCTCCATCTCATGTTTAAATTCCCGTGAACGCCTTTGTTCTTCGGAGAGGTAACGAGGGTAATTTAGGTATTGTTGCAGTGATTAAATTGGTGGTGCGAAATGGTGGCGTTTTAGCTTGTTTCTATTCATTTTCGCTGAGTAAGTTAGCTGTAATTGGTTATTTAATTTAACTTTAATTGGTTATTTAATTTATCTCAATTAAATGAAGAATTTTTAAATTTAAAAAATGGTTAAAATCAAGTAGATCTATAAACATCTGAAAATCTTGAAAATGGACGGTGTAGATAATATGTTGTAAAATGCATTATTTCTGAGACGTAAAATCTTTTTATTTTTCTTAGTCATACATCTCGATGTCGAGATGATTAATCAAAGGGTTTTTCAACATTAAAACTACCTTTTCCGATGGATTTTTTAGGGGCATCCGTAACTGTACATTATAAGGTAGCATCCATAGTTCTACACTATCCGAGTCAAGCTGGTTTTGGCGGTGTACTTAGAGATAAGCTGGAGAATGTTATCTTTACGTATGCAGGTCCACTTGGGATGCAGACAACTAATTTTACAAGACTTTATGCTCTTTTTTACAACTTGTGCATCTTTATGGCAATAAATTTGGGGTGTTACTACATCTTTGAAGGGGATTTTTTGAAGGTCATTAAGTGGTGTAAAGGGGAACAGAAATTGCCTTGAGAGTTCAAATATTTGCTACTATAGATTTTGGACATCTGTTCTTCCTCTTCCTTCTTCTTTGTTCATGTATATAGGGAGGCCAATGCCTTAGCTGACTCTCTTGCCAAAAGAAGCCCCTTGTTTTCTGAAACTATATTTTTAACTTTATAATATCTTTCTAGCTTAATACAATTTTGAAATTTCTACGAAAAAAAAAAACAAAAAAAGGCTAGCATCTTTATATAAACTTTTTCCTTTGATAAATTCCTGTTTTTTAAAATAGTTTTCAAATGCCCGCCTGCCTGGGATCACTAGGGACCTGGTGGGAATAAAATAGGAGTTCACATTGTGTGACCCCACAACCTTGAATGTTGCCTTGAACAATTCTTAATCTTGTATACTTAAAGTTTACAAGTAAATTTTTTATTTTTCCAAATTCACCGTGATCAAGATTACGATTTATAAAGTTTTAGATCCAAAATAAATAGTGGACAAGATTCGAGTGAAATCGTTGAATTGATCAATGACTATATTACGCTGAATAACATTAGAAAAAGAAGAAGAAAAAACAATCTTACCCTAAATTGATGGTTTTTTTTTTTTTTAAAACGGTCAAAGGTGGTGCCTTCACCAACGTGGCCCATGAGTAATCACAGATTGTCAACTCAGCGGATCATTGTCATCAAAGGCGAATAGTACTGTGATGGTGTATAGAGTTATTTATATTTCTGTTTTTTAATTGATACCAAGAATCATGCTTTGATATGGTAGATGTAGAAGGGAACCAAATAATTTTCTATTACTTACCTTTTCTTTCAAATGACTCAGCACCACGTTGGTTGCGTTTAAAGCTTTCAATAAAAAATTCAGTCCCTGCAATTTATATGAGGGGAGGTTCCAAGAAGACTTCTTTTCTTTTATATTCTTGAAGTAAGAAAAAGTTTATTATTCTTTTCTTTCAAAAGTTTATATAAGATTGAGACCCTAAACAATCAAACTAAAGTGCACCCCTGAAAAATTAAGAAGAAGTTGTTTTGATGAAAAACCCTCAAATAGATCATCCCAACCTCAAAATGTAATGGCGTGAAAAAAATGGATTTCAAGTCCAAGAAATAATGCATCTTGTAATGCATTATCTGAGTTATCAAATTTCAATATCAAATATTTATAGATGTGATCAATCTGCACTATATTTAAAATTTTAAATATTATAAGTATATTTAAAAATAAATGTTCAAGCCATCACAAAGATTTTTGCTACTAAAAAATCGGCTTTCGACGCTATTTAGAGGTACCCTTACTTTGATTGTTTAGGGCCTCAAGTTTACACAAAGCAAACCCCATGCCAGGGTTAAGCCACCATGGCTTATGAGACAAGCTGGGTTGTTGCTTGGCCAGAGACATGGCCACCTTGGCTTTTCCCTTATTTATTTTTTCTTTTGAGTGTATTAGATGTCCCTGCTCAAAACGGGCCAGGGACTAGTTTGGATTAGGGACCCTTTGGTCCAGTCCATACAAGACAAGGCTCATGCTAGCCCTAAAGGTTCCAAGGCTGGGCTGGCCCGACATAGACCCACCTGCTGCCAACCCTATCTTAGTTTTAGTTTGCGCATATCTAACGATCGCATGTTTCGAAATTAATTGTTTTTATTTATAAATAATTTTTAGTAGAAATTTTGTGGAAACGTACAATGAATCCTTTGCATTGAAATTTAGATGCACAACAAAAAATTCACATGCAAGAAAATTATGAAAATCCCCCACCTTTATTAGTAAACGTAAGTCATCCAGATCGGTCAATCTCAACCATGCAGCCCATAATGTAGCATAAGATGGCTTAACACATACACATATAGGAATAAAGAGACCATTTATCCTTTGTACATGGAGGTCACAATCATTATTGTCCCTTAAATTTCAAAATTGATGGCTATAAGAATGTCAATGAATATACACAAAGTTCTAAAAAAAAATATTCTGGGACTTCATGACTCACTTCAAGCCATCCAATTTGACATCTTAGTGGGGCGCACTTAATAAAAATATGAAAAATATTTTGTAAAATATAAATTGACCAAAATACCTCCGTAAATTTTCAGGGGTATTTTGGTCAATTTATATTTTAGAATTATGTTTTTATATTATTAGATTTTCTTATTTTTTATACGCTCTAAATTTGAGGTCATTCCTATTTGTAGAAAAAAAATGAAAAATGAAAACTATCGGACAACTGTGACCGTGCGATGAACTTTGGACGTTGATGAGTATAGGCGAAATCACTGTTCATTTTCGTCTATAGGCGTTGGGTAGAAGGGGTTTGATGAGTGTATTTATAAAAAAGATTATTACTTTTTGTTTAAAAAATTATTTTAATATGTAATCTAACCACTAAGCAATGATACATTTGAAATTTTTACAAAAGTACAATGACATTTCAGAAGTTAGTATTCTGAAATTTTATTTGTAAAGTGCTAATGTCTTTTAGCAAAAATTTCAATTTGACCCCTTATAGAGATGACAAAAGCATCATTATCTTGTAGTGACATTTGTAAAAATATCTTTACTTAATGAGCAATATATCACAAAAAGTAATTCTTTAAAAAAATAAATCATAAAGTTAATAAATTCATATTTCACAACTCATTCTATCATTAACTTTTGTAATTTGAAGGGCTGTGAACTTTAGATTTTATATATATATATATATATATATGGATATGGAAGAGATTTTTTAAAAATCAACCAAATTCGATGGGCGTTTTTACACTATTAAGGATAAGATTGATATCAATGTCATGGAAGAGATTTTTTAAAAATCAACCAAATTCGATGGGCGTTTTTACACTATTAAGGATAAGATTGATATCAATGTCACTAAAGACAAGGGTAAGGCAAGAATGTGGGAAAGGCGCATGAAATAGAGATTTAGATTAAAATACCAATCATTTTCCTCAAATTGACCATCTTTTGAGGTCGTTTTCTTTAGGTTAAAATATGAGGATTTAATGAATATATATAATAAGCTGGATGCATGCGTATAACTTATAAGTAGTCAAGAAATTGGAGGGTTTTTGTCAAATTTTCATATAAGACATGGCCATGAAAGCCAGTTATATCCCTAGACTGCGATGGTTAACTCCTTTATATTGAAAGAACACAATTTCTATGAGTCCCCATATTTATATGTAGAAATGCTGCCGCTCTTAATAATACATTTTTGAAATGAGTTTTGGCTATAATATTTAAGGAGTGTATAATCTCTAATATTGAGATCATTAATATATAAAAATAATTAAAGAAAACTAAAATAGCATTTTTTTTTAAGGAAATAACTCTTCACCATATTAAAATCAAGTCAGACCATTATC